CCACGACCTGCCTTAGGTCTTTCCGCAGACTTAGTAGGTAGTGTGTCCATAGCAAATAATAATAATAATAATAACAATAATAATAATAATAATAATAATATAATAATAATAATAATGATAATAATAATAATAATAATAATGATAATGATAATAATAATAATATAATAATAATGATAATAATAATAATAATAATAATGATAATGATAATGATAATAATAATAATAATAATAATGATAATAATAATGATAATAATAATAATGATAATGATAATAATAATAATAATAATGATAATGATAATGATAATAATAATAATAATAATAATAATAATAATAATTAATAGGATGATCCTGGAAAACTGCTTCCGTGGAAAAAAAAATCTTAGTATTGCCTGGATAGATTATCGTAAAGCATTCGATAGTGTACCACATTCCTGGATCTTAAAGTCTTTAAGTATGTACAAGGTATCACCCGTTATCATCAATTTCATCAAACAATGTATGTCGATATGGAAAACTACACTTTACCTCAATCATAAAAATGGAACCTATAAGTCTGGCGAAATAAACATCAATAGAGGAATATTTCAAGGTGACTCTTTGTCTCCTTTATTATTTTGCATATCACTTATAGCATTAACCAGCCAACTTAACAAGACAGAATGCGGTTACAAAATAGCTCAAAAGAAAATAAACCATCTATTTTACATGGATGACTTAAAAATTGTATGCTAGGAATGACAATGAGCTGGAAGGTCTTCTGCAAACTGTAAAATGCTTCAGTGAAGACATCGGAATGAAATTCAATTTGGATAAATGTGCTAAAGCTACAGTTTTACGAGGATCGCTACAACAAACTTCCTCTATTAGTTTAGACCCTGCTGTAACAATAAAAAGATTTAGAACAAGGAGAAGCTTATAAGTACCTAGGTGTAAATGAGAGTGAAGGAATTCACCATAAGAAAATGAAAGAAATAGTGCGTAAAGAGTACTATAGAAGGGTACGACTGGTATTAAAAACTGAATTGAATTCTCAGAACAGAATTATGGCCATTAATAACCTAGCCATCCCAGTGGTCCAATATAGTTTCAACATCTTGAACTGGACTCTAAATGACATCAGACAAATGGATTCTAAAACAAGGAAGCTTCTTTCTAAAGTATAAGATGCATCATCCAAAGGCTGATGTAGACCGTCTATACATACCCCGTAAAAGAAGGTGGAAGAGGTCTTATTCAGCTAGAATTGTCATACAAGACAACAACTATTGGCTTACTAACTTACATGGAAACAACAAAAATGACTGGATGATAAAATTAGTGAAACAACATGAAAACAGAAAGAAAAAATATTCAATAATAAAAGAAGGCAGTAAATACAAACAACATTTACATTTAGTAGATTCTTTAGTAAATCAAAACAGAAGCCAAGAACCAACTATTGCAGCAAAAGATATGAAAAAGAAAGCCAAGGATAAAGCCCTTGAACAGATGAAACAACGCTGGCAAGACAAACCTCTGCATGGCCAATATCCAGAACGTGCAAATAAACCCAATGTTGATAAAGTTAATACTCATCGATGGTTACGAGCATCTGGATTAAAGTCTGAAACTGAAGGCTTTATTCTTGCAGCGCAAGACCAGAGTCTTTTCACTAGGAATTTTCAGGCAAATATCATACATAATAATGTGGATCCAAAATGCAGGTTCTGTGACAAATACCAAGAAACAATAGACCATCTAATCTCAGGATGTTCTATACTTGCCCCAAATGAGAATATAAAAAATCGTCACGATAGAGTGGGGCAATACTTACACTGGACAATGTGCAAACACTTTGGAAAATGTGTAAGCAAACACTGGTATGAACATCGGCCAGCGCCGGTTACAGAAATAGAAGATGTCACCATTCTATGGGATTATACCATCCACACAGACAGAAAAATTGAAGCAAATAGGCCGGACATTATTGTCAAAAACCAGAAAGAAAAAAAAACTTGCCTACTAATTGATATGGCTTGTCCAGCGGATTGTAACATAGCAACCAAGGAATTTGAAAAACTATCAAAATACAAAGACCTGGAAATTGAAATAGAAAAAATGTGGAAATTGAAAACAAGAATAATACCAGTGGTAATAGGTGCACTTGGAATTATAAAAAATGGAACAAAACAACACATTGAAAGAATCCCTGAAACCCCAGCTTAAGAGACATACAGAAAATTGTCTTATTAAGTACAGCACACACACTAAGGAGAACTTTGTCTATGTAACGCTAGCAACTTCATCGGAGATAAAAAAAAAAAAAAAAAAAAAAAAAAACTAACATGAAATGTGGCCATAACAACACACCACGACCTGCCTTAGGTCTTTCCGCAGACTTGGTAGGTAGTGTGTCCATAGCAGAAATCGAATGATGATGATGATAATAATAATAATAATAATAATAATGATAATGATAATAATAATAATAATAATAATAATAAAGAATAGAAAAATGGAGAATGAGAAAAGGCCACAAACATCTTGCAACAGGTAACATAAGATTTGACAAATAAGCATGAATCGACGGGGAGGGGGCAATATAAAACTCATGACAGCAGTACCCCCGTTGGGTATTTCTCTTTTCCGAATATTTCATTACTGTTTTCCGTCTCTACGCCTTTAATGACAGACATATCTGATCCTTTTATGGAAAATTTGTTTACAAATGGTCACAACTGATCGTTGGAGCCGGTCTTATTTTGCGAGTATTCAGTCTTTACCACTTGTCTTCTCCGTCTTGACCTGGGGTGGTAGCACCTGTTAGTGTCCCAGCTACGAACAACGGCCGAAACGTTGTGAATATGGCAAAGAAGATGATGATAACAGTCCGAATAATATCAATAATGCTAGTTCCTCTCAGTTTTGCAAGTTGATATTGTCCCTTTTCATCGGTTCATTTGATCCCTATAACGACAGATAGGACAGTCTTTGATCAGAGCGGAGTTCACTGTAAAAGATTTGTCGCGGGAATCGCTGTTTATGCGGAGGACATTGCCTGTTCATCGAAGACAATATTTGATGATGAAGACATGGAGGCTGTTTGGGTTGAGCGTCAAGCACTGCAAAGTTGAAAACATTATCTTTCCAGTTAATATTCATAATTGAACGGAACATTTTTTTAATCATGTCACCCCAAGCGATGTAATAAATCCACTAAGACGTAAAGTGTTACTGAGTGATAGAAACTATGAGGAAAAATGACGCTATTAAGAAGAGAGAACAATGCAAGAACAGGAATTAAGAAGTTAGAAGATAACGACTGGCATTGCGTTTAAATTTTTGAAGATCAAAATTTACTGGTAAGCCAGAAGCCGAAAAAGAGGCCCACAAGCGAGAAGTGCGATAGAAGAAACTACTAGCATAGAACTTACGGTTATATCTAGCCATTTCAATTAGAAAATGGAGATAACTTGCTGCCAATCTAGTACTGACCTTATATTCATAAAGTTAGTTAACATAGAGGCAAGTTTATCAGAACAATTACCATGAAAGTATTTTTTAAAAATGGCAAAGGGTAGCTACGTTACGGCGTTGGGGAGGTGACAGAAGCCGAGATGCCATGTCAGGACTAATAACATTGCAGATTATTCTTTAGATTTGATCAAGAATGTGTAAATATATAGAAGGATGTGGTAGAAATAGTCAAATTATTGATGTAATCGCTTATGTTTCTTAATGTTTCGACTTTGCCAGGTCTAGGTCAACGCACACGTAAAATAATGCTGAAATGACAATATCTTTTGTTTGCTTTTGTTTGAAGTCTCCTCCAAAAAGGTACGATAGTAAAATTTCGCGAAAGCAATACGAACATTGTATATTTGGTTTTCTATATCCTTTTCGGTGTGGCACTGCGTGAAGACGATACCTAAAGTTGAAAAAAAATCACCCACCTTCTCTGAGGGGCTGTCAGAGTTTGTAATTATTAAAATCAGAAAGCACTTTTACTGGTATAGCTGAGCTGGTATTTTAGTTTTCCAGACATTGATAAGCAGGCTAAAATGATAATAAGTGATTTTGAAGTACATAACAGACCGTAACATTTCTTTGTGTGAATGAGTTAGTAAAACATTATCGTCACCAGACTGCAATTCGTTGATTTTAATGATACTGATCAGAATTTGGGAGCTGAGTTACAACATGCCAACCATTGCTAGGTTATTTATTGGGGCACCCAGTGAGGACCAAACTTATTACTCAGTAGTAACGGTCAATCAAACTAGCCTCGTTAACCATTACCACCATGCGGAGGCACCTTTTTGATAAGAAACATAAAGAATACGGGACGACTAATGCTGGAGAAGTAAGTAACGCAAAAAAGAAAGGAAAATGGAAAAGGCTTTTCGTTAAGTAAAATTTAAAATGTGGACGGAAGCTATCTCAGGCGGACAGTCGGAGACATTGCTGTGCGGATGGCACCTAAAACGAGAAATGGAATTTTTTATTGCAGGCGATAAATAAAATTGAATCAATACGCTCAGCTGAAAAAACAGCAAATTTTATCTTTGTTGCAAAGAAACAAGAACAAAAAAAAAAGAAAAAAAGAAGGGAGGCCACACCATAAAATGATGTATGAAGCTGGCTCAAAAAAAAAAAAAAAAAAATAAACATGACAGGGTAGGAAGAGTTATACTCTTAGAATTATGCAAATGTTAACTGCTATCTTGGAAAATACATTGCTTGATGAATTGATTAGTTTTCTATGGTTTATCGACCCGTTGCAGGTTATTTAAAGCCAGAATTTTTTTTTTTACTTTGTAAGAATTTTTTTGGAATAATAATGGTTTAGAGATACAAGTCTTACTAATTAACCCATAGTTGGAGGAGGAGAAGAGGTAAATTCATACATTTCACAAAGTTATTTGCGGGAAAGCGAATATAACGAATCCAACGGGAATTGGAACGCGGTTCTCCGATTAACAATTCCGAGCCATTAGACATTACACCACCCTCACATCCAAGATTACAGCACCTGGCATACCCAAGCGGTCACCCATCTAGGTACTGGCCAGGATCGACGTTAGTTAACTTCAGTGATCATACGGGAATCAGTGTTTCAACATGATGTGGCCGTAAGCTCTGGAAAGAGAATAAGATACGCCGTGGCTTTGTGATCTGGAATGGCCATTCCCCGCAAGCTAGAAAACCAAATTTGATTGTCATAAAAAAAGGAAACAAGACCTTCTATATCATGATTGATTTGTTTGTTTTTACGGCTTATCAACCTTCTATAAGTTATTTAAAGCCGAAGCATACTTTTGGATTATAAGAATATATAAGAATTAGGAAGACAGAAGATAATGATTGACATTGCATTTAAATTTTTGAAGATCAAAATTGACTAGAAAGTAAGGAGCTGGAAGAGAGTTCCACATGCGAGAAGTGCGATAGACGAAGCTATTAGCATAGAACTTACGGTTATATATAGCCATTTCAACTGTAAAGTGATGAAACCTTTCCACCAATATAGTACTATATTTAAATTCATAAAGCCAAGGTAACAGCGCAAAATGTTTATAGAAAAAGGCACAGGGAAGCTACGTTACAGAGGTGGGAAAGTGACTGAAGCCGAGATGACAAGTCAGGACCTATAACATTGCAGATTCTTCTTTAGATTTTATCAAGAACCTCTAAATATTTAGCAGAAGCACCAGACCAGATGTGGCATCGCTGAACACATTTGCCATCAATTTAGTCGCTAACAGCTGAATTTTGAATTTGTAGGGAGTGGTTTGCTGGCGATGGATGCTTCCAGGTCAATGAATCAACCTTTGCTTATTGGGTAACATAATGCATCTAGGTTTCCTCCTTAGTAATTATGTGCTCATGAAAGGTCCTATCAGCATGCCGGAAAAATTACAAAAGCTGAAAAGAAATGTCCATGTGTTAGAACTTGTGTTTTTTACTCAGTAACTTGGATCCCAAAAAGATCAGACTTTCCGATATGCCAAATTCTCACGAGCAATTTCATGGACCACTGGCTTCAGAAGATTATATATAACCTTTAATCAAAACATCAACACACGCAGTGTTGTTTTCTGCTGTTAATGAAAGTAAACGTTCTAACATGATTCGTCCTGTAAATTTGTACACCCCCATCTGTGAACTCATTATAGCAGACCGTTATCTGTCTTCTGCACATCACATATTAGCCATACACAGCTACAAGCTTACAGTGGATTTATGTAGGATTTTTACCCTTGCTATGCAAAAGTCTCCCCGTTTCCTCATCAGTCCTACAAATGGGTGTGGCCACAGGGTCGCTATGAAGCTGAGCACCTGACAAGTTCTCTCCTCATGTCTGGAGTCGGGTTGTCTAGGTATGGATATTCATACGTACGAAACCCCACTCCAGCTCAAACCACAGCTGATATCCCCCAATTGATCGTGGTCGGTAATTCCAACGGACACCCCCACCACCCCTGAACATTGGCATCAATCTACAAAGCTCTACCCTCCAACGACAGTGTGTCATCTCGGCATTGGCTACATACATGGATATACAGCCCACTCTACCTCATTCTTCTAGAGCAGTGTTTCTCAGCCTTTTTAAGTAACGGCACACCTCGGACCAAATGAAAATATCACGGCACACTTAGCTCCATTTCAAATTAAGGGTGTACGAAAGTGCAATAAAATATTACTATAAAAAAATAACGATTTCAGTACAATTCATGTCATTTTCATTTTATACAAATATCAGAGTAATAAACTTTTTAAAGATTAGGAAATTATTAAATCAAATGCTCAATACCTGTCTATATTTCTGAGATGAGGTATTATGTGCACTATTTACATTATTCGGACTATTGTCCTCATCCTTGTCGCCATATCTATTACAACGTTTCGGCCGTTGTACGCTTCGGCATTCTTCAGGTGGTTGGAATGTCGAACTTAACCCTTTATTTCGCTCACTGAGGTAAACTGTTCTAGTTCCACGTGCCATGTTTAATAGATGTCAGTTATCAGTTATCTCCTGTTAATTCCCCTCTCCAACTTCTCCACTGCCTTAACCAGGTATTGAACTGACACTCTTTGGGTCCTGTCACTGGATCTACTAACACCTTTATCCACTGTGCCATGTGTCCGTGAGGACCCAAAGAGTGTGAGTTCAATACCCAGTTAAGGCAGTGGAGAAATTGGAGACAGTAGAACAACAGTGTTAACTATTAATTTGAATATTTGAAGATTGTAGTTATCAGGGAAGCAAGTAAGTTCCACTGTCGAGAAGTGCAAGAGAAGTAGATATTGGCATAGAAGAGGCGGTTAAATTTAACTGTTTCGGCAGTGAAAGGGGTGGGAACGAGATACCAACCTAAGAGCACGCTTAAATTCATGCAGTTGGGGTACCAGTGAAAGTAGCTCATCCGTGCCGTCGTCATGAAAATATTTTTAGAAAAGACAAAGCCACATCACGTCTGTGAGAAAGTGACTGTAGATAGGATGCCAGATGAGGACCTATCACATTGCATATGGATTTTGTCGTGGGCCTCGAGATGAACAGCGGGGGCACCAGACCATATATGGCAACGGTATTCAATGGATGGACGAATGGTAGATTTGTAATGAATTAGCTGTGTCTCAGTCTCCAGCAATAAATACCCGGCATCTGATGTAGAGATCTAAATGCGTGAAATATAAGAATAATTTGTACACAGTAGAACAATAAATATCAGCTGTGAAGCACAATTGGCACAATCACTGAATTAATAAGTATATACATAACATTATCGCGTAGGGAATCGAAAAATAAACACAATCAGAAAAAAAAAATTACTCTTAAATACTGGCTTAACAGTATGGAATATTGTTGACACATCTGCTCTGGTACTTCTGCTATGTATCTTAACATTTTAGAGAAAATGTAAAGAAGGATCTGCAATATTATGCGTTGTGACCTGGCATCTCGGTTTCAGTCCCTTTCTTACCGCCGTAACGTAGCTTCTCTGTGCGTTTTTTATAAATATTTTCAAGCCGATTTATCCGATGAGCTTTAATCTTTGGTAGATCAATTTCAGGAATTTAAGAACAGCTAAGTTTCATTATTTTACTGTTGAAACTATTAAGTTTTAATGTAAGTTTTTCATAATCGTTCCTTCTCTTAGAGTTCTCGCCTAGAGAGCCCCCTTCCACCTTCTTGCGTTCCTGTCAACTACGATCTTCAAAAATTGAAATGCAACGTCAATCGTCATCTATCTCTTTGAATCCTGTTCTTTTTTTTATTGTTTTTTTTTTCTCCTCGGTAACGTTTTCTCAATTTCCTTCCACCAGTAACCACTCGCATCTTAGTGTTTTTATAGCCTTACTCGAGGCAAAATGATTAAAACATATCTATAAGCATTTATTTAATTTTTTTTATCAACTTTGAAGCCTATTCGCTTGTTCTTCCGATTAGATTATAATATCCAGTTTATTTTTCGGGTGGCTGTAATGATCATACGATTAAATTAAAAAAAAATAGTTAAATATTTTCTAAAATGCCTACCGAACGGAAAGATACGAACGTCATCCACCCAAAAAATGCTGGAGGTAGCCGTCTGAAACGTCAGGTTTAGACAAAATGTCTGGTCTAAATATTCTTCTCATTGATAATAATCCCGGAAAATACGGAAGAATTATTTGTCTATTTTACCGTCTTTCTGTCTGTCTGTAAGCAATCTATGTCACCGGGAGTAATTTTCAATGTCCTTTCGACATTAAAACATTTTAAAAAGTAATCTGTGGAAAAAAACAAAAAAAAACAAAAAACGATCCATTAAAAGAGATGGTTTACGCAACAGACACACACACACACACACACACACACACACACACACACACACACACACACACACACACACACACACGAACATACATATACACACACATACATACACACGCGTACACACACAATACTTTAAGTGAATTTATACATCACAAAACGAACGATAAAGCATGACAGCTTTTAGACTCCAGCCCACCTCCAAACCCTCAATATATATATATATATATATATATATATATATATATATATATATATATGACGGTTATGTATACCCAGAACCATAATTGCCTCTGAATTTAGTGTAATAGTACCCTGGCTTTTAGGGAGGCCCCTGTCTATTAGCGGCCCTTAAGGTTCACCATGTCAGCCACCTCCATCTAGAGAACAAAACAATCGCAATGTCTAATGGAAGCAGTCTGAAAACAATCACAAGATTTGACAGCCTCTATGTGTCCTTAATAAAAAGGCCAGAGGTCGTTTATTTTATTTTATTTTTTAAGCAGAGGGAACTCAAAGAGGAGACAATTATTCAAGGGATTCAAGTTAACCACCGCCAAATGCATATAACTACACATATATATATACATATATATATATAGTAAACAAATAAAATATAAAGTTCAGAAACTTATTTTGCGACGTCAAGTTCTGCAGAAATTAATCCTCTTATCTAGGGATTAGATAGTTCAATTGGATTTATAAAAAGATATCATATGAGAGGTTAAGTAAAAACGTTAATTTGTGAGGTCAAATTTGTTCTTTCTTGAGAAAGTTATTGCGTGACGTAATCTAATCTGAAATTGCTTATAAACTGTTTCCCTTTAAGACGTTATCTTCCATACATGCATACATAAATGCGCACACACGTATATCTATCTATCTATCTATCTATCTATCTATCTATCTCTCTCTCTCTCTCTATATATATATATATATATATATATATATATATATATATATATATATTATAAAAAATATACTTAGTTACCTTCCTTTAAACGGTTTCAAATGTCATGCACTGACGTAGCGTTCCTCACTTCATTTGTAAAAAAAATAACTTTTACATAACACAACAATTTGTCTCTGACAATAATGGAAACTAATATTCATTTGATTATAAACAATACCCTGATGATGACATGGATATGTCGAAAGTACTTAGCAATAAAACAAATGCGTATAAACACAGCGATTTTCTCTTGTCTTTCAGTAAAGCTTATCCGAGAGTATGAAAGGATCTTAACGAAAATGAGTAGACAGAATATGTCTAAACTGTACAACGAAACATGTCTTAATATATATATATATATAT